CCTCCACCACCTCTACCTCCTTCACCACCTCTACCTCCTCCATCACCTCCACCACCTCTACCTCCTTCACCACCTCTACCTCCATCATCTCCTCCTTCACCTCCACCACCAGCAGTAAGTATCCATTCAGGGCGCTGTCCCTCCTACAATTCCAATTGTGAAATACATATTTCATTGACATCATTTTTGTTAGTTGTGTTGTTATTGTTTTTATTGTGTTGTTATTATTGTGTTGTTACTGTTGTGTTATTTTGTTGTTTCTATTGTTGTGTTATTGGTATATTGTGTTTTTTATTGTTGTCTTGTCTTGTTATTGTTGTCTTGTTATTGTAGCCAAATCAGTGCCATCTTTTAAATCTCTTGTAAAAACACTAACAAAGTTTAGATTTGTGTTGTTTATTTATTGTGAATGTAAAACACTTTGTGAACATTGTTTTCATGAAAGTGTAAAAACACAAAGCTGTTGTTGTTGTTGCCTCACAGCTCTACAGATCTGGGTTCAGATGGTTTCCTGCAGACGCTTCCCAACATTTATATAAAGGTCATATGAAGGTCAGATGAAGGTCAGATGTTGTTGTTCCTCTAGACCATAGTTGTGTTTGTGTTGTTCAAACAGTTCTGTCAGATTCTGAAGGTAACGTTGATGAAGACACTCGATGTCCTCACAGCTGGGACTCGGAGTCTGGACCACTGGGATCGGCTTTCCCACTGAACACAATGAGGGTGTTAGTGACATGAAGGATCAACAACAACAACAACAAATACAACAACAACACACAATAATAACACACAACAAATACAACAATAACACACAACAAATCCTGAGACTTTAATGTGAGACTATTTATGTATATGATATTGTATTATATTATATTGTAATAACTATATTAATACATCAGTGAGGTCATACCGACGGTGTGGATGGGCTTCCTGTATGGCATCAGTCCAAAGCTGTACTGGAAAACTCCTCTGGCATGAAACAGAGGCATCGCTACTCCCATAATGCTTTGCAACCGGTTCTGTGAATACAGGTTAACATACCGACATTCTCATATATATATATATATATATATATATATATATATA